CGCAGGTGCGCCAGCAGGGCGGGCAGCGGGCCCGGGGGCTCGGCGCTTGTGGCGTTGGACGGGCGCGCCCCGGCCTGGCGGGCGGTCGAGGCCAGGAGCAGGAGGGTCCCGAGGAGCAGGAGGGACGGCATGGGGCGCGCAGGAGGTCGGACGGGGCCGCCGGCTGAGGGGAGAAACAAGACGGGAGCTGTGGGCGCGGGACAGATGGCCAGAGGTGCAGAGATGTGGGGATGGGTGGCCGGACAGGGTGAGGAAGGCGGGCCGAGGGAAGGTAGAAGGATGGAGGGAGACAAGCACCAGGGGAGCGAAAGGATGTAGGAGCGGCCGATGCATGGGCCCAAAGTGAGAGTCCCACAGGGCAGTGGACGGCATTGGCGGGGTGGACGGAGATATGCCCAGACGCGGCCGGAGGAGGATGGAAATGGTAACGCTCAGACGGGAAAGGATCACGGTGAGCGAGAAGGCGGGAGGAAAGATTGGGAAGGTCGGCGGAGATATCAGAGGGGTGAGCAGAAATAAAGGACAGACAAACACCAGAAGCAAGATAGGATGTGCGGAGAAAGCATGCGGGGGAGCGAAGGAGGGAGGGCAGAGGGGTCGGTGAGAGCAGGGCGTGGGAGATTGGGGGTGGAGGAGCGGTGAGGACGGTGGGGTGGGTCAGTGGGGATGGGGGAGGGAATGGAAACAGATGTTGGGGGGGGCGAGATGGGGAGGGACAGAGAGAGGTGTGGATGGGGGGAGAGAGAGAGAGAGAGATCGGGGTTGAGAATCGGAGTTGACAGACTAGGCACGTGGAACCAGGTGGTGCAGGGCTTCTCAACCTGGGCTCCACTCTCTGGGCCCCGTCCCGCGTGCTGCCCGGTGTTGAGCACCAGCCACCAGGTGCCAGGAGAATTCGCATTCTCCACGTGCTGCAAGCCTAAGATAACCTGCAGGCATTGCCAAAAGTCCCCCTGGGGGCACAACTGTGCCCGGTTGAGAATGGCTGGCTTAGACCGGCATGGTGCTCAGCGGCCCCAAAGGCTTATTTTATTTCTCTTTTATTTAGGTCTGGTAATCCAGGGGTCTCAAGCTTCTGTCTCTGTCCCGCTCCCTTTCTCCTTCATCCGCCCTCTCTGTGTGTCTATCTCTCACACACACGCGCGTGCGCACGCACAGACACACGCACACAGAGAGACACGCACACACAGACACAGACACATGCACACAGACACGCACACACAGACACACACATGCACACACACAGACACACGCACACACGCACACAGACACAGGCAGACACGTGCACACAGACACACACATGCACACACACAGAGACACACGCACACAGAGACACACACGCACACACACAGAGACGCACACACACGCACAGACACGCACACAGACACACGCACACACAGACACACATGCACACACACGCACAGACACACAGACACGCACACAGACGCACGCACACACAGAGACACGCACACACACATGCACACACACAGACACACACGCACACAGACACATGCAGACACATGCACACACAGAGACACACACGCGCACACACATGCACACACACAGACACATGCACACAGACACACGCACAGGCACACAGACACGCACACACAGAGACATGCACACACAGACACACATGCACACACACAGACACGCACACACACACAGAGACACACAGACACGCACACACAGACACACATGCACACACACGCACACACAGACACACATACACAGACACACATGCACACACACGCGCACACACAGACACGCACACAGACACACATGCACACACAGACACGCACACAGACACACATGCACACACACAGACACGCACACACAGACACGCACGCACACACATGCACACACAGACACGCGCACACAGACACGCACACAGACACATGCAGACACGTGCACACAGACACACACATGCACACACACAGAGACACACGCACAGACACAAGACATGCACACAGAGACACGCACACACAGACACGCACACACAGACACACAGACACACGCACACACACAGACACACACACGCACAGACACGCACACAGACACACGCACAGAGACACGCAGACACACATGCACACACACAGAGACGCGCACACACGCACAGACACAGACACGCACACAGACACACGCACACAGACACACATGCACACACAGAGACGCACACACACGCACAGACACACAAGCACACACAGACACACACACACAGACAGACATGCACACACACAGAGACGCACACACGCACAGACACACAGACACGCACACAGACGCACGCACACAGAGAGAAACGCACACACAGACACACACACGCACACAGACACATGCAGACATATGCACACACACATGCACACACACAGAGACACACGCGCACACACAGACACACGCACACATAGACACACATGCACACACACGCACACACACACAGATACACACAC